TGGTCCCGTTGATTCAGCCGCCATCAAGCAAGTCGCTGATGAAAGTATCGGTGATTGCACAGCCAGCTGCAGTTGCCGATTCGAAGAGAGAAGGCGAGAAGAGGACTGAGGCGAATTTATTCACTGCAGCTTAACAAGATGACTGTAACGGGGCACCCTGAAGCTAGTACTGGTGACAGTACAAGCTACTTATTCTGATGACAGAATAAGGCGGTGCCTCGGAACTTCACGTACACTCGTACGTGCAGAGGAAGACGGTAAGAAGAAGCGAGTACTTGGTTAAAGTAAAAAGTAGAACTGTGTTTAGTATAGTTAATGTCTGCAATAAATCACTATTTATCTTCATCTAACTATGTCTAAATACAAATGTGTAAATCGACTATCTGCTCACCACTCATTGCGTGCGTCTGTCGTGGCGCGTCTTCGTTGGTTGATATAATGGCCTATATCAACCAATTAGGAACCACTCGTAAGTGCTACAGAATATTTGTCCTTATGACAATATTCTGAGAATATAACTCTTATAGTTATATTCTATTAACAATTTCTAATAAATTGTTATGTAACGATTCACCCCGTTACATCACCCCCCCCTTAACCATCAGTCACTTTAGTGACTGATTGACTAAATGGATACTCGTCCCAAATCAGTTGGTACAGGGTTTGCACTTGTTGGTCCGAGTCTCGGGATGAGATAGCTGCTCTTCAGACCCTTGTTGATGCCCACCATCGGGAGCACAAGGCTCTCTGCGAGATGCTTGAGCGCAAGGGCGTACTTCATCGGAAGAAGCAGCGTACTGATGGTACGGCTTAAGCCGACCAACGTAAAACGTGGGATGCGTTCGCATCTTACGTGGTAACTCGATCGTGTATGCATTGCCTAGGCGGTGCAATACACGAAATGGGCCGATGTACTTGGGTAGTAGTTTACTGCTACCCAAGTTAGTCACTACATGCTTTGGTAGATTAACCGTAGACAGTAGGACTAAGTCACCTTTATTAAATAAAAGAGTGTTTGCCCTTCCATTCTTGTCAGCGTTTTGCTTTTGCTTATCCACCGCTTCGGCGATGGAGTCTTGCACAAAACGGACTACCGTTTCACGAGCCAGTATGAACTCATCTGATGACTCGTTAGCTTCAGTGCGCTGTGAGCGCACTGCAGCAACATCAACCTTTTCTTCAGTGAGGGCTTCCGCACTCTCACTGGTATCATCTTCTTTGATATCGATGTTGTCGATATCGGCATCAAACGCAATGACCTCTTCGTCAGAGCGTGATGAGCGTGAACCAAATCGGTTTTTGCTCGCGCGAGTCCCTCCCCCTCTTAAACCAGAGTTACACTCTAGTAAGGTGGGTACACGCGGATGGCGCAAGCCATTCACGTAAAACGGTGTATGTGTCGTGGACGCATGCACCGAGTTGTTAATGGCAAACTCTACCATTGGCAAAAACTCACTCCAACTCTCAAAGGAGTGTACGTATCCTCGAAGTATCTCTTTAAGGACACGATTGGCACGTTCCGTCTGACCATCTGACTCTGGATGATCAGATGTCGACATCTTCAAGCGCGTTCCGAGTGATTTGAACACGGAACGCCAGAAATCAGCAGTGAATCGTGGATCTTTGTCTGATACGAGTTCACGGGGAAACCCATGAAGTCGGAAGATGGTGTCAATAAAGACACAAGCACAGCCGCTTGCCGTGATTGTCTCTGGTACAGCCACGAGGTGTACCATTTTGCTAAATCTGTCAACAAATACGAGAATACCCGTATTCATGCGTGCGTCTTTGGGTAACCCGAAGACGAAATCCATTGAGATGGATTCCCAGCACTCAGCCGGAACCGGTAGAGGCTGTAAAGGTGCACGCAGTTAGGGACTTGACTTCACTCGTTGGCAGACTTCGCATGCGCGAACATACTTTCGCACAAACTGATACTGGCGGGGCCAGTAAAAGTCTCGACTTACCGTGAGATACGTTTTCTCCCGGCCAAGATGTCCTCCTATAGGAGCATCGTGATACTCGAACATGATCCGCAAACGCAGATCAGTATCATCTGGAATGACAACACGTGGTGTCACCAGAAACGGCTGTATAATACAGTAAACCGTTACGAGTAGTGTATCGATCTGATGCAGATCGATACGCAGGCGACAATCGTTTCAACGATTCTCGAGATGGCTGGGAGAGATGTGTCAACAACTTCACTATCTCACCATCTTGGGCGTATGCCCGCCTCACATCATCATACAACGTTGTAGATGGGACTGAGGACGTCATAACCGCAACAGTGACTGTCTCACTGTTAGGTTTCACGACTGGTTCAAAGTCGGGACGACGTGAGAGTGCATCAGCGACAATACTAAGTCGTCCTGGTTTGTACTCGACCGTAAAGTTGTATTCCGCAAAGAATGACAACCACCGCGCCATTCGTTGTGAAAGGTGCGGGCTGTTCACTGCCGTGCGTAATGGCGCATGGTCAGTGTAAACAATAAAGGGTCTATCTCCTAATAGATAGACTCTGAACTTCGCGAGTGCATACTTCATGGCAAGGAGTTCCTTGTCATGCACTGGATAGTTCCGCTCAGCTGGTTGCAGCTGACGCGACTGATAGCAGACGACGCGTTCAACGCCTTCTAGGTCGTACTGCATTGATGCACAGCCGATTGCGAAATCGCTGGCATCACAGACCACATGAAATGGCCTGTCCTGATCGGCTATTGCTAGGACTGGGGATTGTATCAAGCTCTGCTTGATACCCTCAAAGGAGCGCTGACATTCAGCGTTCCGTAACCACTTCTCGTTCTTTTTCAACAAACGAGAGAGGTGCACAGTCATTTCGGCGTAATTGCGTGAATACTTATGCAAATACGCCGCTAGCCCAAGGAATTTTCGAAGACCTTTGACATCAACCGGCACAGGCCAGTCGGTGATCGCCTTGATATTTTCGGGATCAGGACGTACACCGTTCTTACCAACGATGCACCCAAGAAGTGGTATTTCGCTTGCTGCAAATATACACTCCTTGAGGTTTGCATACAATTGATGCTTTCGCATGATTGTAAGAACCTGTCGGACGTGGTACCTGTGAACCTCAACGTCCGACTTTCCATCCATAGCTCGACTATGGATGAATACGTCATCGAAATAACTCGGCGCGAATTCTCGTACTGGTCTCAACAGATGTGTATCACATCTGTTGAACGTGGCAGGGGCATTACTAAGCCCTTGTGGCATTACTAGCCATTCCCAGAGCATGCCGCTAGGCGTGCTAACTGCGGTATAGGGTATATCCCGTTCTCGCATAAGGATTTGATAGAAGCCTTCCATCAAATCCATCGACGAAAAGATGGTACTCTTTGACATACCATCAATGATTACGTCCTTCCTCAGTATCGGCGTCTGAGCCGGTACCGTTGCAGCATTCAACTTGTTGAATGCATGCACTATCCGCCACCCTCCTGTTGCTTTTCGCACACAGAAGGTCGGAGAGCTATGTGGGGAAGTTGATTCGCTCACATGGCCCGCAGCTAAACGTTCGGCAAAGAACTTGTCGATCGCAAGTACTTGTTCACGAGGCAGTGGCCACTGCTTCATGACACAGTACTTCGAGCCTGGTTTAAGCTCGACCTCGTGTCGAATACCTTTATCCTTCGGTAATTCGCACGGAACAGTTTCAGGGAATACATCCTTGAATTCAACCAAATCTTCATAGAGAGGATTTTCTTGAGCGATTCCCACGATTGGGAGTCATATCGCTCAATTCGTGTCTTTTCATCTAGGACACTCTCGTCCATAGATGAACTACTTAGAACTCTCTCGTTCTCAGTAAACACTGTTGCTGACCTTATGTCGGTTACACACTCGTCGTCAGCGACGAGTACGCAGATCTGCTTGACTTTGCCACTACGCAGATCACGCAAGAACCTTTTATGTTCGAGCGTTGGCAACTGAGTGATCTCCGAAGTCAACTTCGGAGGCGCAATCAGATCAAGTGTATAAGCGCCTACACTTGACCCGTTATTGACTATGACATTCAATGTCTCTGTCATTTCCTGGGGACTTATTCCCTCAGGCTTCGAAGGACTTATTCCTTCGGCTTCCCGGGGACTTATTCCCTCGGGTTTCGGGGAACTTATTTCCGCCGTATTTGTAATCTTGGGACTTATTCCCTTTACTTCCTCTAGCTGTGGTTGCGCAACCACAGCGAGATCCTCTACGAAAGACTCTCCAGTCGATCTAGGATTATCGTTTCGCTTAACCTGAGCGATCGATTGTTTCTCTTCTAGATGTTCCCCGCTAGGGATACATCTTTGTCCCGGTCCACTCGACTTATTCGAGTGGTGGACCTTCGGCGCAGCCTGTGTTTCCTCACAGCCGCCGGAACTTTGCTCCGAAGTGTAACCGTTTGTTACACTAAGGTTTTGTGCAGTCGTACTAACGACCGTACCACAAGTGAGGCCATCGCACTCACTCGTAGTACATCCACACGCTTGTGGACGCTCCAAAACGTTCATCAGATGCCCATCTGATGAACAAGCGGCAGGCATCGTTACTGTTCGATGTTGCCAGTTTACCCGTGGTTCGTACCTTCTGAGCCACGGTATTCCAAGGATGACATCAAATTTGTCATCCAAATCCAATACGATAAAGTCATCGTCATATTGGGTATCTTCTAGCGTATAGTGGATCTTCACTATACGCTTCATGAAGGTTACGGATGCGCCTGTCGCAAGACGTACCGTCACCCTCGTAGGAGGTGTGTCACATTCACTAATCTTGAAGTGACCATCTACTAGCGATTGGCGTTGCACAAAATTGTTAGACGCAATCGACTAGAGCTCGAAGGGACAACTTATTCGCCACTTCGAGTTTCAAGGTAATGAGTGAGATCTCATTACCTAGAGCAGCAACGCACAACGTTTGTGTGTTGGGAGCAACCTTCATCAAGAGGCCTACAAATTCTCTTGACGTCGCTGGATCAGTAGGGTGCTCTGCACCTACTGATCCTGTCCGTTTTTTGACGGTCCATCCCGTTGTTGCGTCTTTGCACCAACAGCGGACCCTCGTCCCTGCCCCTTTCTCATGGGTGGACGGTCACTACGCCCAGTGTCGCGAGACACTGGACGAGGGGCACTACACTCGTAAGCGTAGTGTCCTGTCTTTTGACATCTGTTGCATCTCTGCAACTTCTTGTAGCCTGTAGAGCGAGCCTTCTCGCTCTCTACATAACAGAGTTCCATCGGCTCTGGACCTCCGTTGTCATATCGTCTCGGTTGACGATATGATGTCGAGCTGGCGCGAGCCTGTCTCAGACTGAAGTCTTCCTGCTCCGCAATGGAAATGGCTTGTTCTAGTGAATCTAGTTCAAGCCGGAACAGGTGAGTCTTGACGGGACCATCCGCAAGACCCTGCATGAACACCGAAACCAACGTGTGTTCATCCACCGGATTGGAACTTATACAACTCGTGAGATGTCGTATATGTTGCGCGTAAGCGTGCACATCACGCTTACCCTGCTTGAGCTTCAAGAGTTCGGTTCGAGCTCTGAACTCAGCTCTAGGCGGTTCAAACGTTTGTCTGAGCCGCGACTTGAAGACTTCCAACGACCCAAACGCATATGGGTCGTGCAACTTGAGCCCCAGTGCCCAAGTCTTGGCACGTCCTGCCAGATTTGACTGGGCAAATGCAACTTGCATATCCCCGTCGTCGATGCGACGCGCCCTTATGGCGTCATCCAATTCGACGAACCATCTCAAGAGGGAGTCTTCTTAGACTCCCCTATACTTGGAGATGTCAATCTTCAAGGTCTCGGGTCGACGCGAGTGCATCAACCCACCAGCAGCAGCCTGCTGCTGTCTCAACAGTTCAAACTGTTGAGCACCCTGTTCTCTCAACAACTCTGCTTGTTGAGAACCTTGTTGGTGAAGCAAGGCTACTTTCTCGCGTTCTGCGTCAAGTTCATTTTGAATGAACTTGGCGATAGTAGCATGTTGGGCATCTCTATTGAGAGCCTCTAGCATGACGCTAACAGCATGGATGCCCATGGTTGAACCCATTCGTTCAACCGCATCCCATTCGACATCGCTCAAATGGGAGTAGCCGTCACGCGTAGCGTGAAAGCTTTGGTCATCTTCATCATCCAACATATTCATGTTGGATGTGAACGCGGTCCTTGGACGGACTACGAAGTGCTACCAGGTGTAACGGGGCACCCTGAAGCTTGTACTGGTGACAGTACAAGCTACTTATTCTGATGACAGAATAAGGCGGTGCCTCGGAACTTCACGTACACTCGTACGTGCAGAGGAAGACGGTAAGAAGAAGCGAGTACTTGGTTAAAGTAAAAAGTAGAACTGTATTTAGTATAGTTAATGTCTGCAATAAATCACTATTTATCTTCATCTAACTATGTCTAAATACAAATGTGTAAATCAACTATCTGCTCACCACTCATTGCGTGCGTCTGTCGTGGCGCGTCTTCGTTGGTTGATATAATGGCCTATATCAACCAATTAGGAACCACTCGTAAGTGCTACAGAATATTTGTCCTTATGACAATATTCTGAGAATATAACTCTTATAGTTATATTCTATTAACAATTTCTTATACATTGTTATGTAACGATTCACCCCGTTACAATGACAAAAGGCTGAGCAAGGGTTGCAATCGTAATTTTTACGGTAAAGCTGTAATTTACTTTGGTCGTATATTACGGCCAGAGCTCTTCGCTTCTGTTGCCCAACAAAATCAGCGATAAGGCGCTTGTGACTGCTTATGTTGCGCCTAGCGTTGCCGTGCCGAATGGTCCTAATTGAGGGAAGAAACAAATCCAGGAACACCGAGAACAACAAAACCGTGCCGGACGAAAGAGCACATCTCTCTACTGCCTTCTTCAAGCCTACAGAGCTTACCAGACCCCGCCATAGCTTACGAGACCCCGTCATAGCTTACCAGACCCGTTTGTTCTATCGGGAGACGTTGCTCTCGCTCTGTCCGCTGTCACTCCTGCCCCTCTCGCACTTCGAAGAGTGAAACCACGTGCAGAAAGGACACTCGACGCTTTAAAGTCGGTCGCCACGCCCCTGACATGTCTCAGACGCAAGTGCTGGACGGAGTTTGCTCGCATGCGTTGCGCTCGCTCTCGGACACGAAAGACACGGTACTGGAGTGGGGATCAAGTGTACTATCGAATCAGATCTGAGGGCGTGCATGGCTAACTTTTTCTATTTCTGGGTATTTTATGCTTGACAGCTGATTCTCGTCTGTATCGGGCTATTGGAAGCGATGGATCGTCTGCAAGAGCGTCTGCATTTTCCTACGTCTATTGTAAAGGACCTCAAGCGCCGCTTGGCCAAGATGGTGAGCAGGTCGTCGGTGAGGCTTTCGACCGAGTGTCCTAGAGCTCGGGAGCTAGGCGACGTCGTCGCAGATAGCAACGTGTGGGATACCGCTGAGCCAGAAGAAGTGAGGGGCGTCGTGCACTTCGCGCTGGCAGTTGCTGCATCGCTGCGGAGTGTCGTTGTCACCGCGTCTCTTGGTGTGTGTCATGGTATTTACGTGGTGGTAATGAGTTTGCCTGGAGTTGCCACGGCCTGCTCGTTGTTTTATGGACTACTGCAAGCAGTGGAGGACACACTGAGACTGTCGAGTGAAGAGATCATGGGAACTACGTCTGCGGAAGGATCAGGAACAGGCAGCGGACGAAGTCGGAGTTACCACCACCGCCACCGTCGCAGTGCTGAGCATTATATGGCCGACCCAAGCTGTAGGCTAATTTTTGTTGTTGATGGATTTTCGGTGCATTTTTGCTGATTGAGAATTGCTGCACGGTGTTGTTACATAGGACAGTGACGGCGGTGGTGCTAGAGTACAAAGAAAAAGAATGTATGGTGCCGCCGAGTATAGATCGAAGGATACGGCGCGTCATGCACTTCCAGATCCCGCTCCATCCATTTGAAGCAACTGTGCGATTACCTCCAGACAACGCGCAAGCCGTTTCATCATGGAGCAGATCAACTAGTGGTGGCAGCGCTGGCGAGGATGAGACCACTTCAAGCTACGCTCACCTGAGTTCCGCGACACCGCGGTCAATTCCAGTGTCACCTTCAGCTCGCAAGCGCGTGCAGCTGGCATTTTCTAATTTTTCCGATGACGTTTTATACCAAGTTCGTGATAGGTTACGACAGGAGCGCGCGGTAACGCTAACGGGTGAGCACGATCTGCGTGTGCCGCGGTTTAATGCGCACGATTGTCACGAAGACATATATTTATCCTGCGGCCGTCACTGTGCATCCAAGACTGGCACAGGCATGTACCGTAGCGTCCGCGTATCTGTGCCATTGCGGAAGAACCGGTTCGTGTATTTCGAAATGGCGCTGCAGCAGGGACGGACACCGCTAAATGCAGCAGACCAAAGCGCCCCTAGTTCTCTGCAATCGGGACATCAGTCGTCGTCTTTCTTGGGAAGCGATGCTGGCGTCAACATCAGTAGTGCGAGTGATCGAGTTGGTAGTGACACAAGCGTTTGCATCGGGTTGTCTACGCGGCTGATGCCACTGAACACTCTCGTTGGAGCGTCGAAACATTCGGTAGGTGATTTGCACAATCTGTATTTGACTATCGTACTGACTTGCTGCGATTTATGCAGATCGGATTCTACTCAGCCGGACACGTCCTCGTCGGCTCCGACAGGCGGCGCATTATTGGAGTTGGTCGTAAATACGGGTTCCAGTCCACTGTCGGGCTGTTGGCTCAACTAGTAGATCACCAGGAGGATCGGGCGGAACTTCTGCTGTCCCAGCAAACGTCCGCTTCGTTTCCATCGAGCTCGAGCGACGACGGTTCGTCTGTCGGTGTGGCATTTGTGCGCTTCACTGTTGATGGGATCCCAGTTCGTGACAGCAACAATCGTGTGATGGAGTTCACGTTACCTTTTCCATCTAAAAGTGAGCTTTACCCGACATTGACACTGCATTCTCAGGATGTCCACGTGTTTGGCCAGATGTCCGCACCCGACATCAGCGGGTTCAACTTACAGGAGCTGGATTTGCCCGTTGAAGAGCCTGTTGAGATATGGTGTCTCGACGGTTTGCGCTTAAACATTGCGGCTTAGAACACGAATCTTTATCAAATACAGGAATGCTGCCCATAGACCATCTCCGAAAATGACTGGGCTACGCAAGTACCAATGACACACTGATGAGACTCAATAGACAGTTCGCTCGGTCCAACGGGTTCTGCTTACCTGCCTGTCCAAGGCTGTAAGGTAATCTTTTTCACCATGGCCGATCGCTACGGAGTGGTTCATGCTCAAAATTCGACGCAAACAAACCGGAGGCGATCCGCTGAGCGGTTGCGATATTACAGACTGTACTTTCCATATTTGTCGCCGCCGAGGCCTACTTGCATCGTGGTTTCATCCAGGATGCGTTGTAGTTCTCGTCTCGCCTCAATCACAGAGGATTGCGTTGAACCCTCAATAGCCTACGAATTCACGAACAATGCGGTTGGTAAAGATGACATGCGACATCCAATCATCAGCGTCACGTACCAGGTAGAGCTTTCGTTCTGACGGATTGGGTTTGCGGCCAGCAGGAATGTATGATCCCCTTGTGATGACAGCTGCCCCAGTGAGCTCGGCAACTGAGTCACTTGCCTCCTTCTGGGTGACTCTCCAGCGAGCCTGCTGGGGGTAGTCGTTAATCTCGAGCTCTTCAACAAAGTGGTTCTCTCCAGAACTGCCGTCCCCGTTTCCCTTGTACTGCAAGTATAGATTTTGAATGATCTTCTGCGCCTTGATGAAAGCTGACATTGCTTTACTATCGACAGGTATCGACTTCAGACCAGCATGAGCAGACTGCTTGTCAGCCGCAATGCCAGTTTGCTCTTTGCTTGACTCGTCCGCATCGTCGTCGTCAGCGGTGCCAGATTCCTGGAAACAAAGTACACAAGCCAGACGACGTTGTCAACTGAGTCCACGCGTGGCCACAAAAATCGAGACGACAGATTGTACCTCAATCAGGATGCCCTGGTCCAGTTCATACTGACGCCTCTGAAGGTCCGCCGTGCGCTGGGTCTCGTTCTTTTCCGTTTCGTCAAACGTGAAGCCTTTGCCTTTGAAGCCACTACCGTGATATCTCGCTTCTCCGCGTGTAACCTGTGCCATTGCAAGCAAAGATTAAATCTGTAGTAGCGGGGAAAAGAGCACGCGCTAGTACATCATTACCTTTGCTTTGAACTCTTCTGCAAGTGCTGATAGTTCAGGTGGGACAATCTGCTTGGCATTTTCCAAGGCTTTCACAAGGTCGACTGAGTACTCCTCCTCCTACGGAATGATGAGAATGGGTTACATGTCGGTGTGCACGTATCACCCGACAAGAAACGCACAGCAACACACGTACATCCGGGGAAATAAACGTGTAGGCTGTGCCCTTCCGACCGGCTCGCCCGGTCCGTCCCACACGATGAACGTAGTCTTCCATGTGATTGGGACAGTGGTAATTGATGACAAGAATCAAATCTTTCACGTCAAGACCTCTACCAGCGACAGATGTCGCCACCATCACGGTTCGCACCTTTCGTTTGAAATCATCAATAGTGTAGTCCCGATCCACTTGATCTTTTCCACCTGTACCGTAATGCCCACCGCATAACATAAACTTATTGTCAACTAACTCAACAGGAACACTACCACACTGCATGACGTACCATGTAGCGAAAGTGCTGGATATCCTGCTTTCATCAAATCTTGGAAAATCTGGTCGCATGCTTGCTGCTTGTTCACAAATACAAGGATGTTTCCCTTCTCATACCACAAACCGAGAAGCTGCAAAAGCCGCATGAACTTGTCATCTTCTTCGCGAACCTCAACGTATTGCGTAATATCGCCGGAGGCCGTACTGCGTGTACCAACCGTAATTTCCACAGGTTTTCGTAGCACCTTCCGTGCCAATGATTCCACAGAGCGAGGAAAGGTTGCTGAAAATAGCAAAGTTTGCCGATCTGGCCGGATGTTCATCATAATTTTCGTGATCTGCGGCTCAAAACCCATATCAAACATGCGGTCAGCTTCGTCCAGCACCACGTACGACACACGCCGGAGCGAAACCATCTTGCCAGCGCTCATGCAAAGAATATCAATCATGCGTCCTGGTGTACAGATCACAATATCTGACCCGCGCTTTAGGTTAGCAATTTGCTCAGAGACAGATGACCCCCCGTACACTGCAGTAGCACGCAAGCCGAGGCCCTTCGAAAATTTTCGAGCCTCAACATAAATCTGCTGAGCGAGTTCTCGAGCAGGTGCCATGACGATTCCAATCGGCCCTTCGTTTTCTTGCAAAGGAGGTTGAGCAAGAATATGACGAAACATGGGAAGGAGAAATGCCAACGTCTTTCCCGAACCTGTTTTGGCAATGCCGATCACGTCACGCCCTGACATGATGGCGGGCAGAGCCTGCTTTTGAATGGCAAACGGCTCTTCGTAACCATGCTTCTTGATAAGTTGAAGCATTCGGATGCTGAAGCCACACTGAATCCACTTTTGCAGCAGACGCGGGCAATTCTTACCACGGATCTTTATCTCAGATTCCTTGCGTTGCTCCTCCACTTCTTCCTCCGACAAATCCATAATTTCTTTAGGAACGACATAAAACTTCTTTTGAAGCGACAGGTAAGTTATCTTCGCATGATCCACAGGCTTGATCTCTTTCTTCTTCTGCTGTTCTTGCAAAATTTCCAGCGCGGATCTTTGGTCCACCAGCTTGGAGTCTTCAACAAAAACGTCATCTTCATAGCCTTGATAAATTCGCCCCGTATCACCCTTCTGTAGCATCGGGTCTTCTCCAGCTTCTGATCCGACGCCATTCTGTGTACTCATCTTAGCTGTTGAGGCAACACCAGCAGCCTTCTTTTCCTCTTGTTCACGTTTTTCTTTGATCGCTCGCATAAACTCCGAGAGTTCACGCTCTTCACGAGCTTCACATTCTTCAGACGTTTCGATCATCGTGCAACTATCTGCATGGGAATCCTTCGACGGCGACAGCACAGCTACATTCGATTTTTCGGGTGCATCTGGAGGCAAAAACGTACCATAAATATTGATTTTTCCCTTTGCCTCGATCTCGGACTGCGAGATCACGTTGGCAGCAGGATTGGCGCGAGATTGATTTATAGCTGCCTCATCGACGAGACCAGCCATATAGGCATCTAGTGGGTCAATCTCTTCGACAACCTTTTGGACGCGCTCACGCTGCTGAGCTTCTGCCTCGATTCGTCTTTTTCGCTCTTCCAGCGTTTCACCTTTCTCTTCGTCTTCTGGTAGCCACAATGCCAGCTGCTTTGGTACTGCATCTTCTTCCGCTAGAAACTTCGCGCGCTCTTCTTTCTTTTGCTTAGTTTTTTCCTCCTGCAACAATTCACGTGTCTCTTCTGTTGCAATATTATTGTCCCCAGGTTTAGAGTCGTTGTTGCCTTCGTCCAACCCACTGAGGAAAATTGCAGGTTTCTGCGTAGTACTTTGACTCTTCTGCGATGTCGGATTGCCAGACTTGAACGAGATGCCGCTGAACTTGAACTTCTTCAGTGTGGCACCTCCACTCGACGCCGGTGTAGCAGTCACAGGATCGACAACTTCCCTCCTTTCCACTGAGCTAGAGCGCACGCGCTTGCCATCAACAGCGGTCTGGCTATCAACAAGTGCCTCGGGAGCTGCCTCGGCAGCAGTGCCTTGATCAATAGGCTTCACGTCCACCACACGAGCCCGTTCATTGATTGGTTTCTCCTCCTCTTCGTCTTTCGACTCGAATCGTTTTCTCTCCACCTTCTTTACCCTCACCTCACTCCTACTTCTGCTCCGTCTGCTGCTCTTCCTGGAACTCTTGTGGCTCTTCCGCTTCTCCTTTTTCTTCTTCTTGGAGCTGCCACTTGGTCGATCTAGAGAACGACTGCGCGACGCCGAGCAAGATTGTGAGTGGCGCCGATCAGTCTTGGACCGTTTCTTGCGGCGTTTGTCGCGCGACTTGGACGAGCGACGACGATCACGTGAGCGCGATCTGGAGCGGGACGCGTCGCTGGACGAAGAGTGCGACGACAACGAGTGGGGTTGAGAGCGGCCGCGATGTGCGTGTCGATGGGAGGAGGAGCGAGAGCTGCGTCCGTGGCTGTGGCTCCTGCTGCGATGGCGTCGCCGCCGGTGGCGATGGAGACTTGGCGCGTCGTGTGCCATCGGGACGAAAATGAAAACTGAGGGTTTGCTGCAGTTTCCTGTCTTGTCATTGGATGAAAATCAACCTACACACCGCGTGGAGTGGTTGAAACAAATTACAGAAGAAAATGACGACGATGACAGTCAGAAAAAGTGGACGCTATGGACAAACGCTGGAGCTTTTATCGACCCTTGGACGGATCTTCTCGCGTCTTCAAAAGTGGAGATACTCTTTTCGTTTGCGCTTCGAGAAGATAATGGCGCCAAACATGAGCGAGTCGTAGTGAGGCAAGTCGTTCGAGTTGGGCAGGTGACCGATCTCACCGAACGTTGTCATGCCCATCAGCGAGGCTCCGCCTGACCAGTCCTTATACGCACCAACCTATTGCAATGAGTTGAACTTGTGGTTAGAAGATGCACAGAAGTCAGACAACCCAATCAACTGCAAAGTACCATCTCAGCCATGCTCTTGTGGCCCAACAGTGCCTGCACTCCAGCTGACAGGAACATGAGGCAGCCGATCGTCTCGTGGATGTAAAACTTGTTGCTTTCCACGGCTTGCGCCCCCATCTGAATCAACAAGACCATCAAAATGAGTTAGATTCGTCACCGTATCCGTGAGTGGAAAAGTACTCGACAAGAACCTTGTTGATGGCGGTCTTCAACGACTGAGCAGATGTTTCCATAAGAACAACGTTCGTGCCGCAAGCGACGGAGCTGGTAGCGCTCAGTGAGCCGTCCTCGTTGATGCCGGTGATCACTGCTGTCATGTTGATCAGCTTGGACCAGTCACTTGACTGCATTGAGCACAACGAGGAGGAGGAGTGGGCGTCAATACTGCGGTCGATCTCCATTTGATTCGAAACGAAGTCAATCGTGGTGCCCAGTGGATGCAGACTGCCTAGTCGGGGAAACCCAATCGAGGAAAGCTCCGTCTGGCTCTTGTCGGATGCCACGTCGAGCCACTACCATTATCAAATTACGCGTTAGACCGGTTAGCCAATCAACAAGTATCACGACGATTGGCGTACCTCTTGATAGACCTCTGCGGCTGGCTTGCAGTCAATTTCAAATATCGTCTTGTTGGACGCCTTTGTCACAGTGCCCATGCAGTATTCGCTGTTCACTCCAACAGGGCTGTATCCGCTGAACCAGCTTACATAGGTCTCGACGCTAGGAAAACACAGCGCAAACGCGATTCCCATCTCGGTCCAGTCTCCTCGACCATCATGAACGCTCTTTGTGTTGTCAGAGCTGCTGCTACTGCTTATTTGTATCCACGACACCGATGCCTCGCCTTCTCCTTGCCGAGTAGCGTCTGACGAACAGCCACCAATGATCGGGCAGGGAATAGCCTCACGAATTCCGTCAACTGCATGCTCCACGAAGAGCGGACACGCGTAGGTTACGATGAACGCCGGCTTTTCACCAGCGTCGATATCAGTTGCCACACGGGCAAAAGCAGTTCTAGCTGCAGTATACGTCTTTTCGTGTGCATCGCTCTGCGAATACTCTGCGTGAACGACCGAATAAATTCCATGGGGATCATTGACACCCCATAACGTGACAAGACCTTCGTCGTTGTGTCGGTTGACAGACACCCAAGCATTTTCGTCACATATGCCGCGCGCGATTGTACCGCCAATGTACGGTACCCCGGGGGCTAATTGGCGAAGCAAGTTGACGATTACTTCAGCGCTAAATCCAGTGGAGAATCCGACAACCACGAAATGGACATCACCTCCAAGTTTTGTCATCAATTCCTGAAACGCCCCGGTCATGGCAAGAACGGCTGTCTTGTTTGTAGCCCAAGCTGAAGCGGCATGGACGTAGCTGCTGCTGTTTTGCACTGGAAGTTTCTCCTTGGAGCCTGATCGCTTGTCAGCTTCATTCTGGTTACCTCGGTTTGATGAATCCAGTAGCCGCGCAGGGCCTGGTGAAGGACCACGACGATCGGCTTTGCTCGGATGCCCTCTACTTGATGCTTTCTGGTTGCTAATAGCCTCGGTCGCATTTACAAGCTTATCTCGACCATGAGCCATCACAGGCCCAATACTAACTTCGGAGTGCGATCGACGTACCCGACGCATATGCTTCGATGACCGAGCCGCCTGTTCGCCGTAGCTATGGCGCTGAGGCAGCTGCGTGTTACTCTGCCGCTGCTTTCCTCCAGAAACCTTTCTTGATGTACGCAGATTCGAATCTCGTCGCTCCCTATCGGAAGGGGTATCCGGAAGCTCACGATACTGGTGAGGGCGGCTGTTTCCATCTTCCTTTTCCTCCTCTTCATTATCCAAGCTGACACGTCGATACTTACGGGGCATTCGCTCCTCCTTGGCAACGACAACTTGCTTCGGTTCACCACGTGCAGCTTTGTCCAGTTCTCCCGACAAATCCTGCGAGTGCGAAGGGCTCGGCAAACGAAGTTGCTGAGCATTCCCTACCTCGCCACCCGTGGCAAGTTGCTGCTGATCGGTACTCCGTTGAATCCAATCCTTAAAATCCTCTTGATTATTTAGCTCCCTTCCGCTCTTTGACCGGTGTTGCGATACTACACACTTACTGCACACGCGAATGCTTGGTTGGTGGCGGGACAATACCTGCTTACCTGTCTCGTTGTGTGTGAAACTAATCGAGGGTACGCGGATAGTGCTGCTGCATGACCAACATATCACTTCCCCGCACGTACGGCAGTGATGACGTCGACGGAATATCGGCGAAAAGCGCCGATTGCAAAGCACACAAAAACGACGTTCTCTGTGACAAAGTAAGTTGGCAAAGCATGCTCACCGAGTTAATCAAGGTGCAGAGCAAAAGGTGCCCCTACTCACAAGTAGGAAAAGATGCAACGTACTTGTCTTTCACCCAAGCGGACGTCTTTACGACAGATATTTCTTGGAGCTCGGGTGGATCCTCCAGCAAGTCACGTAAACCGCGGGCAAGTTGCGTGGCCATCTCTACTGCAGGGTTACTGCGAAATAGGCTCACCACAGGTGGAGGTCGCTGGAACGCGATGGAAATCGTGACAAAGTCATCCTTGTAGTCCGGTGACGACGTACGCTCAAACTTGCAGATCAGTGTATCAAATTGGGAGCGTTCCAGATTATTACCTTGTCTGTGTGGCATACCGCCTACTTCTGCAAGCGACTCCTGGAAGAGATAACACGCAACAATGTCCCCTCCCGAAGTTTCGATGCCGATGTACTGCCAGCATTACGAATAACAGACACCACACATACCCAGCATTAGTCGACTCTTCTGGTCAGCATTACCGCTGAACATGGAAGATTGCTAAACGTTGCGTGTCTGCCAGACGATGCTCCTGCAAGCCCTTACCTCCAGCACGTAGAAGTCCAAGGATTTACTGGCCAAGGAACCTGACTTAATGGCCCACCACTTGATTGCCGCCTGTTTGTACATCTCCCGGGCATCTCTCGGTGGGTTTGCACTCGGGTAGACGCCCGTGCCATTGAGGTCTTCTAGCACTTCTGCATCCAGGAACATATCACCCAACACCTTGCGCATAAAGAGCTTAAACTTATCCGACGTCTTAAGATCGTAGATCGTCTTGAGCACGTTGGGAAACACTGCATTGGCAAAGACCACGGCCTTGGCCGACACGGACTCGGACCAGTCGGAGCTGGGCTTATACACACCGATGTCGTTCTTGCACTCGTGCACTTTCCACAGCGCGTTGCTCGATTCAGCTAGCAGCCCCAAACACGAGCGGGCGCGGTTTTCCGCGTACTTATGCAGGCGGATCTTGCGTTCATACGAGAGCGACGGGCCTTGCGGCGGCGGCACAAAGTCGTCGTCCTGCGAGTGATTGTCAGCCGAGTCACTCCAGTCTGGGCCGTTGGTGGCTGCGTGCGCTACAGTCACGTCTTCCGCGATTGCAGGGTCTGCTACAGCCACCTCTGGAGATGCCGATGGCGCAATCGTGGACTGGTCCATCTGCTGCCTGTGAGTCGTCACGCGGGGCAAAACCCGTTGATGCCGGTAGTGCTCGCCGCGCGGCCTGGGTGCAAATTGTCTTGTTTCCGGTCATTTTCCATGAACATTTCGTCAGTTCCACAGCGCTTCTTGTAGTTTTCTACACAGTGTCAAGCGCACGACAGATACCGGTTCAGTCGTACATAAATGCTGCGGGTGTAATCTGCAACCGGCTTTACCGAACTCGCTGACGATGTTCTGCCCTTTCTACGGGGCACTTCGGTAGCATAGAAAAGACACTCGATGAGCCATCGCGCCCTAAACCGGCAACTAGATGCAACCCGACGATTCTGGTCAAGACAAGTGCTTCGCAGATAACTGACAAAGTTCTAAGTGATCGCAGACCATAACGTCCGTCGTGTGTGCTCGCGAGCCATACACACCGGGGCTAGCCCCATTGAGTCGTCTGAACTCTGGCTCGTCGTGGCGTTTTTTTTGGCCCTATGCTCCTCCTCTGGCCTCATTGTCTTGACACCGTAGTTTTGACCCCTCGCAGCCACACAGATTCGTGGCGACATCGCTCGGTACTTGCTACTTTGCGTCTTTCGCCGGATGAGGTCGCGTGTAGAAAGCCCTCATAGTAGTATGAACAACGGCTTACTCGAACTGCACTTGTTTTTGTATTGTGATCGGTCCTTGCTGCGCGGCAAGTACACTATCTAGGTGGAACCTACAGCTGATCTGGTCGACTCTCAAGGACTTGTGACAACGTAGATCGAACGGTTGACAGCAAGATCGTGAAATGTCAAACAGTATAAAGTGGATGATGTGATGAGGACGGTGGCGCACCGATTCGACTGCCGGTGCATTACACGGTGGTATCTGCCGTTCAGCTCGGATGGAGCGCAGTTTCTGCGGCTTTGACCACTGACTAGAGGGTGTGAATTTGATAAGTACGCAAAAAAAAGAAGCAGAAAGGGGACGGAGTTTGGGATCTGAAAGAGTGCAACCCACTCTGCACTAGGGGCAGGCCTAAGTCAGAAAAGAGTTTTGCACGACATGTTTGCAAGTGCGGACAAAAATTAGCGAACATTGCATGTGAAATCCTGCATCGGATAAAGCCGGATATGTCAGTCCATAACGTGTTACTCGAACGAAAATAGATCAGTGGCGCTCAAGTTCCTCCTCACAACTCGCCAAGTTTCGAAACGTACGGTCAAAACTTTCGATATGTATTGAGCACATTGATACAAACAGTTGTTGTCTCCTACCGATCAGGGCGACAAGTCGAGAGCCGGTGTAGCTTATCTAGCTAGTGAGAGTCATTTCTAGAGTGCGACAAAAGTTACTGTGCTAAAATGAACGACTGAACTAGCACCCCGTCGTACAAAGGCTGGATGAGCGCATAGCAAAAGATCTATCTATCTGTAAGGTTGGCGAGGAATCCTTGGTATAGTGTCAATCTTGACAGAACTTCATTTCTCTATATTAGGTACCACCTCGCAGATCAATGTATGCACCACCACAAATACTGAGCTTTCAAAGGGACTGACTTGGTAGACACCCCCCCCCCATTTATACGTGGACACCTCCTGAGAAAAGGTATCATAAATATCTTATAATGCTACTGCCCCCTTGGTAGGGTAAAATAAAAGGGAGCCAATCGCAGTGCAAGACAGAATGTAGGACCCTCATCTACTCCTCCCCTTACCCACACGTACATTGTATTGAAGTTATTGTCATCTCAGCCTAATTTAGCACACCTCCTTGCATTTATCTTGTTTCAGTTGCATGCAAGGGTCGACATCACCACTCGCCGTGACCCTATCTGCTCATAAGTATAAAGATGATAACGCACTTTATAAGAGTTCTTGAGATGCACATTTCCTTTTTATGATTGACATTCGATTTCAAGCACTCAGGTATGTAGGCTTACAGCACCGTAACAAGAACGAACCATCATGTGCAGCATCATGGACTACGAAACGATTAGCATAACTTGTCTTTTACAGGCAGATACCACCACGTTAACGTTCAAAGGCAACTGCGGTTTTGTGATCTGCAGAGCCCACCTGATCAACTCTCACTGCTTGTTAAGCCTTCGTAATCGCTCGTGCTTATATTCAATATCAGTACCTTGCTTGGTGTATCCTGCAGTTCCGACGGAGGCTTTATCACAATGTCGAGTCGACGTGCCCGTGTTCCCACGACTTTTACGTTTGAGAACATCATCGTCAAGCTCATGCGCCCTAACCCTTTTTTATTCTAAAGCGCAAAGGGAATTACTATTTTACTGTACAGCATTGTTATCATGAATTATCTATGCTCTGCTTCATATCTGGAGACGTTACAGCAATGCGCCATAAAATCGTTGAAACATCTACATCGGTTTTGATGAAAAGAAACAATTCAATGGTGAAGTATTAAGTTATCTGCATCTGTGTAAAGTTGCTCATCAACTTATCGTACCCAGATCTGGCGATTGTTATTCCGCCGGTGCAGCAGTCAAAATTGTGAAGACAATACCGACAACACTACCTTGTCTTCCTTGATTATGTGCACTGGACGCGCTGGAGATCGCTCTGTGGCTTAAAGAATCGACAATATTCATCAGGAGTAAAAAGTCACGTATTAATTTTTAAAGGGCACCAGCATTGTACTAAAAGCGTATTATGTAATGGGGGCTGCAAATGAGCCTTCACTTTTTGCCAATAAGCCTTTAACCAATTGATTAATCAAGTAATTATATTTGGAACTCCAAAAGTGTCAAATTGCTTGGTTTACTTAATGTTTTTGATTTCTGCATCTTCGCAGTCGATACTGAGCCAGTCATATCCCCAGCTTCACATAGAGCAGCCCTACGACGGGTGAGAGCGCTGAAATGTAGGCTTGCATCAGCTTATTTAAGGCAAATAAGATTCCTCCCTACACTACGTCTCTCAAAACATTGTCAAAATTACCCGTAAAGCTCCGATGACGGATTTTTGTATGTGGTACAAGCGCATTTGGACCACCCCCCACATTAATATTTAGATAGACGAGCTAGTAAGCACAATACACATGTTGTATACTGCCCACCCTCTCAGAATAATTGAGTTTCATTTTATGACTTCTTCATAAATCGCCCAATGTGGACACGACAGCATTGTATGAATAGGGCAGAGTTAGTTGTAACGGGGCACCCTGAAGCTTGTACTGGTGACAGTACAAGCTACTTATTCTGATGACAGAATAAGGCGGTGCCTCGTAACTTCACGTACACTCGTACGTGCTGAGGAAGACGGTAAGAAGAAGCAAGTACTTGGTTAAAGTAAAAAGTAGAACTGTATTTATAATAGTTAATATCTGCAATAAATCACTATTTATCTTCATCTAACTATGTCTAAATACAAATGTGTAAATCAACTATCTGCTCACCACTCATTGCGTGCGTCTGTCGTGGCGCGTCTTCGTTGGTTGATATAATGGCCTATATCAACCAATTAGGAACTACTCGTAAGTGCTACAGAATATTTGTCCTTATGACAATATTCTGAGAATATAACTCTTATAGTTATATTCTATTAACAATTTCTTATAAATTGTTATGTAACGATTCACCCCGTTACATCACCCCCCCCTTAACCATCAGTCACTTTAGTGACTGATTGACTAAATGGATACTCGTCCCAAATCATTTGGGACAGGGTTTGCACTTGTTGGTCCGAGTCCACTTTCCAACATCTCATCGCATGGTTAACAAGCCCATGCGATGCGCGAGCAAGGCCGCCGAGAGCGCGTCCGCACGTCTCTGTGCGGACGCCGAAGCAGAAACCACAGCAACTGATGTCTCATCGGTTGCTGAAGCGACCCAGCCTGTGTCACTTGGTGATGCAGGCGCTGGTCATGAAGACACTCATGTCTTCACAGAGTACGAGCTCGGTGTCTCATACTCTCCTGATACTAAAGACGGATCCGTAGCGACGGCAATTGAATCCAAGCCGCCTGCCAAGCGTGGCATGGACGATGCTTTGCGTCGCAGCATCTTTGGTTCATCTGATGAATCAGATGAGCCATCGCCGAAGCGAAGGCGCTCGAGGTCGCGAGACTCGGGCGCTAATAGCGGTGTCGGTTCTCCTATGGACACCACTTCACAGCGAGGTGCCAGTACTTCTGTCGGCACATCGCAGGAAGAGCGGAACCGCAATGTCTTGCGTCTCGCTTCCGAGAAGAAGGCATGGATGCCTCCAAAATCCGTCATGGATCACTTGTCGGCGACGACGAGTGATCGTTATCGAACACGATTGTTCGATTCGTCAACGATCCATCACCTTGACCCCATCGCGAAAAACTATCGCGCTGAGAATGAATTCTTCATCGATGCTTTCTTTAGACATCGATGGTACAGTGGGAATCACAAGCGTGATGGTCCCTCACTACTTCAGGCGTGGAACGCCTACATCCATAACCTTGAGGATGTAGGTCGTGACGCTTGGAACGACAAAAATATCAAAGCTCGTGATAAGTTTGAAAAACGAGAACCCCGACAGGTGCACGCTACAAGCTGCATCGTCTGTCAAGGGAGAAAGGATTACCCTGCCTCTCATGGGGAGACTCGTGCCCATGTTGTGTGAACAACTCTGCACGAGCACCTAAGGAGGCTTACCTCCTTACCAGCCCATGGTGGCGCGTACGTGTCTCTACTGAGATGTACGAAGGGATTGACAACCTGAAATCCCTTTACGACCGTGCCGGGAAGACTTTCTCCGGCGGTCCTTCTGTGGCACAGGATGTGCCGCGTCGTACTGCTCAACCAGACCCAGTACGTCAACCATCAGTTGGGAGCGGGGCTCCCAAGAATCCCAGGACGGGGGATAGCCGCGCCACCGGACGAGATAACTCGTCCGACTTCCGTTCACGTCGCGGTGGTTCAACAGCTGCTCAACTAGATAGCGCTGGCCACCGCGAGAGTCCTCTAATGGAGGTGGAGGAGGAGTGAAGACGCTCTCCAAACTATCGTGGGGATCCGTGTGTTCCCGAGAGCTTCTTTGATCGCGTAACACAAGGGTTACGCAACGATCTCGAACATGAGCGGGACAGACGTCTCCAAATGGCGGACACTGTCTCGAAGCATCGAGCTGAGTTTGCCTTTGCTCAGCTTGAGAACGAGAGATCTCTGACATCTCTTCGTGACGAGCTAAGGGTAGATCGTGGGATTGTTGATCGGTCTCGGGATGAGATAGCTGCTCTTCAGACCCTTGTTGATGCCCACCATCGGGAGCACAAGGCTCTCTGCGAGATGCTTGAGCGCAAGGGCGTACTTCATCGGAAGAAGCAGCGTACTGATGGTACGGCTTAAGCCGACCAACGTAAAACGTGGGATGCGTTCGCATCTTACGTGGTAACTAGATCGTGTATGCATTGCCTAGGCGGTGCAATCCACGAAATGGGCCGATGTACTTGGGTAGTAGTTTACTGCTACCCAAGTTAGTCACTACATGCTTTGGTAGATTAACCGTAGACAGTAGGACTAAGTCACCTTTATTAAATAAAAGAGTGTTTGCCCTTCCATTCTTATCAGTGTTTTGCTTTTGCTTATCCACCGCTTCGGCGATGGAGTCTTGCACAAAACGGACTACCGTTTCACGAGCCAGTATGAACTCATCTGATGACTCGTTATCTTCAGTGCGCTGTGAGCGCACTGCAGCAACATCAACCTTTTCTTCAGTGAGGGATTCCGCACTCTCACTGGCATCATCTTCTTCGATATCGATGTTATCGATATCGGCATCAAACGCAATGACTTCTTCATCAGAGCGTGATAAGCGTGAACCAATTTGGTTTTTGCTCGCGCGAGTCCCTCCCCCCCTTAAACCAGAGTTACACTCTAGTAAGGTGGGTACACGCGGATGGCGCAAGCCATTCACGTAAAACGGTGTATGTGTCGTGGACGCATGCACCGAGTTGTTGATGGCAAACTCTACCATTGGCAAAAACTCACTCCAACTCTTAAAGGAGTGTACGTATCCTCGAAGTATCTCTTCAAGGACACGATTGGCACGTTCCGTCTGACCATCTGACTCTGGATGATCAGATGTTGACATCTTCAAGCGCGTTCCGAGTGATTTGAACACGGAACGCCAGAAATCAGCAGTGAATCGTGGATCTCTGTCTGATACGAGTTCACGGGGCAACCCATGAAGTCGGAAGATGGTGTCAATAAAGACACAAGCACAGCCACTTGCCGTGATTGTCTCTGGTACAGCCACAAGGTGTACCATTTTGCTGAATCTGTCAACAAATACGAGAATACCCGTATTCCCGCGTGCGTCTTTGGGTAACCCGAAGACGAAATCCATTGAGATGGATTCCCAGCACTCAGCCGGAACCGGTAGAGGCTGTAAAGGTGCACGCAGTGAAGGACTTGACTTCACTCGTTGGCAGACTTCGCATGCGCGAACATACTTTCGCACAAACTGATACTGGCGGGGCCAGTAAAAATCTCGACTTACCGTGAGATATGTTTTCTCTCGGCCACGATGTCCTCCTATAGGAGCATCGTGATACTCGAACATGATCCGCAAACGCAGATCAGTATCATCTGGAATGACAACACGTGGTGTGTCACCAGAAACGGCTGTATAATACAGTAAACCGTTACGAGTAGTGTATCGATCTGATGCAGATCGATACGCAGACGACAATCGTTTCAACGATTCTCGAGATGGTTGGGAGAGATGTGTCAACAACTTCACTATCTCACCATCTTGGGCGTATGCCCGCCTCACATCATCATACACAATTGTAGATGGGACTGAGGACGTCATAACCGCAACAGTGACTGCTTCACTGTTGGGTTTCGCGACTGTTTCAAAGTCGGGACGACGTGAGAGTGCATCAGCGACGACATTAAGTCGTCCTGGTTTGTATTTGACCGTAAAATTGTATTCTGCAAAGAATGACAACCACCGCGCCATTCGTTGTGAAAGGTGCGGGCTGTTCACTGCCGTGCGCAATGACGCATGGTCAGTGTAAACAATGAAGGGTCTATCTCCTAATAGATATACTCTGAACTTCGCGAGTGCATACTTCATGGCAAGGAGTTCCTTGTCATGCACTGGATAGTTCCGCTCAGCTGGTTGCAGCTGACGCGACTGATAGCAGACGACGCGTTCAACGCCTTCAAGATCGTACTGCATTAATGCACAGCCGATTGCAAAATCGCTGGCATCACAGACCACATGAAACGGCCTGTCCTGATCGGCTATTGCTAGGACTGGGGATTGTATCAAGCTCTGCTTGATACCCTCAAAGGAGCGTTGACATTCAGCGTTCCATAACCACCTCTCGTTCTTTTTCAACAAACGAGAGAGGTGCACAGTCATCTCGGCGTAATTGCGTGAATACTTATGCAAATACGCCGCTAGCCCAAGGAATTTTCGAAGACCTTTGACATCGACCGGCACAGGCCAGTCGGTGATCGCCTTGATCTTTTCGGGATCAGGACGTACACCGTTCTTACCAACGATGCACCCAAGAAGTGGTATTTCGCTTGCTGCAAATATACACTTCTTGAGGTTTGCATACAATTGATGCTTTCGCATGATTGTAAGAACTTGTCGGACGTGGTACCTGTGAACCTCAACGTCCGACTTTCCATCCATAGCTCGACTATGGATGAATACGTCATCGAAATAACTCGGCGCGAATTCTCGTACTGGCCTCAACAGATGTGATATCACATCTGTTGAACGTGGCAGGGGCATTACTGAGCCCTTGTGGCATTACTAGCCATTCCCAGAGCATGCCGCTAGGCGTGCTAACTGCGGTATAGGGTATATCCCGTTCTCGCATAAGGATTTGATAGAAGCCATCCATCAAATCCATGGACGAAAAGATGGTACTCTTTGACATACCATCAATGATTACGTCCTTCCTCGGTATCGGCGTCTGAGCCGGTACCGTTGCAGCATTCAACTTGTTAAATGAATGCACTATCCGCCACCCTCCTGTTGCTTTTCGCACACAGAAGGTCGGAGAGCTATGTGGGGAAGTTGATTCCCTCACATGGCCCGCAGCTAAACGATCGGCAAAGAACTTGTCGATCGCAAGTACTTGTTCACGGGGCAGTGGCCACTGCTTCATGACACAGTACTTCGAGCCTGGTTTAAGCTCGACCTCGTGTCGAATACCTTTATCCTTCGGTAATTCGCACGGAACAGTTTCAGGGAATACATCCTTGAATTCAACCAAATCTTCATAGAGAGGATTTTTCTTGAGCGATTCCCACGATTGGGAGTCATATCGCTCAATTCGTGTCTTTTCATCTAGGACACTCTCGTCCATAGATGAACTACTGAGAACTCTCTCGTTCTCAGTGAACACTGTTGCTGACCTTATGTCGGTTACACACTCGTCGTCAGCGACGAGTAAGCAGATCTTCTTGACTTTGCCACTACGCAAATCGCGCAAAAACCGTTTAGGTTCTAGCGTTGGCAATTGAGTGATCTCCGAAGTTAACTTCTGAGGCGCAATCAGATCAAGTGTATAAGCGCCTACACTTGATCCGTTATTGACTATGACATTCAATGTCTCTGTCATTTCCTGGGGACTTATTCCCTCAGGCCTCGAAAGACTTATTCCTTCGGCTTCCCGGGGACTTATTCCCGCGGGTTTCGGGGAACTTATTTCCGCCGTATTTGTAATCTTGGGACTTATTCCCTTTACTTCCTCTAGCTGGGGTTGCGCAACCACAGCGAGATCCTCTACGAAAGACTCTCCAGTCGATCTAGGATTATCGTTTCGCTTAACCTGAGCGATCGATTGTTTCTCTTCTAGATGTTCCCCGCTAGGGATACATCTTTGTCCCAGTCCACCCGACTTATTCGAGTGGTGGACCTTCGGCGCAGCCTGTGTTTCCTCACAGCCGCCGGAACTTTGCTCCGAAGTGTAACCGTTTGGTACACTAAGGTTTTGTGCAGTCGTACTAACGACCGTACCACAAGTGAGGCCATCGCACTCACTCGTAGTACATCCACACGCTTGTGGACGCTCCAAAACGTTCATCAGATGGCCATCTGATGAACAAGCGGCAGGCATCGTTACTGTTCGATGTTGCCAGTTAGCTCGTGGTTCGTACCTTCCGAGCCACGGTATTCCAAGGATGACATCAAATTTGTCATCCAAATCCAATACGATAAAGTCATCGTCATATTGGGTATCTTCTAGCGTATAGTGGATCTTCACTATACGCTTCATGACGGTTACGGATGCGCCTGTCGCAAGACTTACCGTCATCCTCGTAGGAGGTGTGTCACATTCACTAATCTTGAAGTGACCATCTTCTAGCGATTGGCGTTGCACAAAAATGTTGGACGCCCCACAATCGACTAGAGCTCGAAGGGACAACTTATTCGTCACTTCGAGCTTCAAGGTAATGAGTGAGACCTCATTACCTAGAGCAGCAACGCACAACGTTTGTGTGTTGGGAGCAACCTTCATCAAGAGGCCTACAAATTCTCTTAACGTTGCTGGATCAGTAGGGTGCTCCGCACCTACTGATCCTGTCCGTTTTTTGACGGTCCATCCCGTTGTTGCGTCTTTGCGCCAACTGCGGACCCTCGTCCCTGCCCCTTTCTCATGGGTGGACGGTCACTACGCCCAGTGTCGCGAGACACTGGACGAGGGGCACTACACTCGTAAGCGTAGTGTCCTGTCTTTTTGACATCTGTTGCATCTCTGCAACTTCTTGTAGCCTGTAGAGCGAGCCTTCTCGCTCTCTACATAACAGAGTTCCATCGGCTCTGGACCTCCGTTGTCATATCGTCTCGGTTGACGATATGATGTCGAGCTGGCGCGAGCCTGTCTCAGACTGAAGTCTTCCTGCTCCGCAATGGAAATGGCTTGTTCTAGTGAATCTAGTTCAAGCCGGAACAGGTGAGTCTTGACGGGACCATCCGCAAGACCCTGCATGAACACCGAAACCAACGTGTGTTCATCCACCGGATTGGAACTTATACAACTCGTAAGATGTCGTATATGTTGAGCGTAAGCGTGCACATCACGCTTACCCTGCTTGAGCTTCAAGAGTTCGGTTCGAGCTCTGAACTCAGCTCTAGGCGGTTCAAACGTTTGTCTGAGCCGCGACTTGAAGACTTCCAACGACCCAAACGCATATGGGTCGTGCAACTTGAGCCCCAGTGCCCAAGTCTTGGCACGTCCTGCCAGATTTGACTGGGCAAATGCAACTTGCATATCCCCGTCGTCGATGCGACGCGCCCTTATGGCGTCATCCAATTCGACGAACCATCTCAAGAGGGAGTCTTCTTCGACTCCCCTATACTTGGAGATGTCAATCTT